AGATTAACGTGGTACTTCGTCAATGATGTAGTATATAGTCTAGGAGCTATTTATGATAACAATATATGTGTGATGCGGAATATATAAATAATATAATACATTCCGTGGAAGAGATTATAAAGGATGAAAAATATATTTACTATACGATAATATAATATCAGTCAATAGTAATCTTAATTTTAACCTCAAAAATCAAGATAGTATATAAATAACAAAAAAAGAGAAAAAAAAGGAAAATTCTTGTTAATATTAAGTACACCACATAGAAAAAAACATATTAAATAAATGTCACATTGTGCGGAAGGAAGACACTTTCCGTTCTGTTTTATAAGATAATTATGTTGAATCAGCCTCAAGGATGATTGTGAAAGGATTGAAATACCGTCTGCCTATTCTCATTTACCTGCTTGCTTTTCAGAAGCCTCTCACCTTGAGATGACAACGCACTTTTCTCTAACTCGACTAACTGTAACTCTTCCTGCAAAATTACGCGTAGTTAATTTTTTTCGAATTAAAATGCTTACTCTTGTGGAAATAAAATATTTTTTTATTCTCAGCGCACAAAGATATAATTATATCGAGTAGCTTTCAAGGATTATTGTGAAAGGAGATTGAAATTCTCTCTGATTATCTGTCTCTTTTCCGAGATTCTGTCACCTTGATGGTAGTGAATTTTACTGCATTAATGGCACACTGAATTAACAAAGACAACAAATTTTTCCTTCAAGGTTTCAATACCGGTTTTCCTCCGCATGAAAAAGTTGTACTTATCGAAAAAATTATCTTTTATTAGAAAAAGAAAATTGTGAAAGGAGCATTGTGAAAGGATTGAAATTGCCCGTCTGCTTCTTTCATCGTACTTTTACCCCAATGATAATCGAGTTTCTCTCAAAAGTAATTAACAAAATCGGGGCAATCTAATTGTAGATTTTTCTCCGGAATTTTAAATGAGTCAGATTTTCATACTGTTTGCTACAAAGTAGTTTTATTCAAGACTGCTTTACTTCTTACGAGCCTTACGAAGAATAAAATTTTTTTTAAATTAATTAGACTTACAAGTAAACTACCTAATAAATTCTTTTCTAAAATTTTATATATTTGGATAATTAAAATCATGTAATACAGCAAGATACTTTCCATCCCGTTTCCCCCGAGGTAATTTTATCAGAATAGTCGACCAAGGATTACTGTGAAAGGTCTGAGACTCCACCTGCCTCTTTCGAAAGCCCCTCCGCGGGGAGGACAGCGGAGTTTCCTTTAACCGGTCATCCACAAAGTAGGGCGACCTGCCGTCGGTGACTTCAGCAAGCACCAAGATTTCAATGTCCGAAGGACAGCGTGCTCGGTAATGACAATTCGTGCTGCGCTAACAATTACAATTGCAAATTGATGGATTGTATATATATCGTAGCTTTCAATTAACTAAAAATTATAGGATGAAAATTATCGGGATGATTACGCAGTATACTTATAAGCGATATTCTTTAATTCTTAAATGATTAAAAGTGCTGAAAAATATACTCTAATAAAAGGATTATGTTAAATCAGGAACAGAAGCTTGCGACGCTTATCATGCAATTATCATTATTCTTATCATTCGATAACAAGCCGATAAAAAGACGTAATTTCCTCGATAAAGGTATTAACACAATTACAAATACGAAAACAAACCTACACACAGTCGTTCGATCGCACTTTCATCGTCCCACTTTCTCCGTGTTGTTCGGGACGCATCGCCGGACTGACTATGCTCTTAGTGGTCTTACGAGAGAACCTTTGGTACTTCTACGGCATCTCCGTCGTCGACCGGCGATTAAAGATAGAAAACGTGTGGACGAAATCCGAGAAAGTTCGGGAATCACATCCGCGTCTCTTTTATGTTAGACGCGTTATTGTGTCCGGAGGATAACGATTCGAAAGGAAACTCGTTGCTGACCGATTTGGGAAAGTCCCAACCGCAATCAACTTTACGGTCAATGTTCACTCATTTCTTTGGAATACCCTTTAATCCAGCACATGTACAATTTTATTTATTTAAATAATTTTACAGATTATTTCATAATTATTATATCATAGGGAGTTTTTAATAATAAATGCTTTAAATAATTTGGAACAGATTTTAAAATAATTTAACGATCTGCAAAATCTTTAATTAAAACTCTGTCAAAGTCAAGTTTGCTTGAAACGCACTAATTAACATATAGTATATAATTTTACTATACAATTATATATATATAACTTATAGAGAGAACCTTTCACACTATATAATCTATAGGATTTTTTTTCATCACATTATAAACGTGATACGTGAACTCCACCAAAACTTAATTTTCCACATAATTAGTGCAAAATCCTTTATTAGAGAACTCATTTGCGCTATTAAAATTAGTCACATTAAAATAAAATAAAGTGAAATAATACTGAAGTTATAGATATCTTATACATGTTTATATAAATTATTCTCTTATTATTTCTTGTTATTTACATTACTGTGTTTCTTTTACCAATCGACAATTCACTAGTATTGCGTGCTCGAACAAATGAGAGAAACAGTAAAAAAAAAGCTATCTTATGGAGTTACTCATTCTGTGACAATGTAACCGCGATTTATAGTACCATTCAATATCCTCTCGTTAATACTTATTCGCGAGAATATGCGCGGAATTTTTATTTTTACCCGATCGTGATACGATTGACATTGATACGAATGCACGATGCCGATCATGGCGAGAGCGGCTGCATTACAATGCGCTTTGCTGTCTTCGCTTCGAGTAACGTTTCAAACGCGCGCAACGCACATTATAGCGGTATTGAAGTCACTGCACCGTGAGAATACAGTTATTGCGCTATATTCTCATGAATAATCGCTACGATTACGACGAAGGGTGAGAAGAGAGCACGAAGTAAAACCGCTACTATTACAAAGATCGTCACGCTTATGTCGTTCTCTGCGAAAACACACTTCGTTACGTCTTCCCGAGAAGGTCATTGATTTGAAAACAATTGTTAAATCGAAAATGGTCATTTTATTGCAATCTGTCTGTCTCCCCATGTTAAATCGCAAAACACATCCTAAAGAAGCCTCTAAATCATGCCATCGTAATTTCAATGACGAATTCCTATTTAACTTATTATTTTAAAAAGAAACTCTATCGAGTCCTCGGTTTTTCAAGCTTTACTTTATTTTCCTCTTATATACACACACACACACACACACACACACACACACATATATATATATATGGATAAAAATCTAATTTTATTTTTATGAATAACTTGAGAATTTGTCAGAAAAGTCAAATGACAAAACGATGCAAATAACGTGCAATTTATGTTCACGAAAAGGAAGTGAGCACGCAATGAAAAAAGTGCGTGCACGGTACACAATTAAATTCGCGAGCAGAGTTCATTATCACTACTCGGTCAAAGTAAATCTGAATTTTGCGAATCATCCTAAATGTGCGCGCTCGCACGATGCACTTTCTATTTCTAGCATATATATGCGCGCCTTTCGCGCCATATCAGATTGGTCGGCCGGTATCATAACGCTCTTCTATGCGACCACTCGCCGCGACTTTCTATTCCAAGCATAACTCGCCGGGCTGATCATTCTTAATAAGAGAGGTAGAGGATCGTTGATGTGTGGTTACCGCGAAATCGCAGCACGATTATTTGTCGAAGACGCGCAGTCAGGTGTATATAGAACCACCACGAGATCCAGTTATTTGCTTTTCTTACACGAGAAGCTATATTACGGAAATGGTATAAGCAAAAAACGTAGGAATCAGTTATTACGCGATAAGGACACAATATGAGAAATTATACATGTCTCCAAAGAAAGCTTTTAACAAACGTCTATAATAATTGCTCTCTGCCTCAATTTTATTTCCATAAATTTTGATATTTTTTTTTTAATTTCGATTTATCATTTCCTTTTTACTGCTCTTCGGCAATTATATAATTAGTCAAAAGGAATATGTTATAATAAAAAATATTATGAAAGATCACAGAATTCTAAAGAGATTTATGTGTAAAACGGAGGTTGCATATATAAGGAACAGTCGAAAACTCGTGGAGGGTCACAGTCTACTTGGCGATATGAACTCGAAATCTAAGAAGGAATGCATATCAAGGCCGATCTCTCGGTGCGCGCGCATTTCCACCCACTGTTCTCTCTCATTATCGTTCGATAAACCCGGGGCTAATTAGAACTCGAGTGTAAAACAGCAAGCTTGTCGCTCGCGCTCAAAACGTACGCTTGCGGTCACAAGGAATCGAAGCCGATTTGAACGGTATTTCAAACGCGTTGTCAACCTTCCGTGACGAATTATTAATTGCCAACGGGCTAAATTCTAATGTTGTAAATACTTTATGGAGAATTCCAATCATTATACTTACAAGTCAAACGAAGAACTTTGACAATTTGAAACAGTATTATTAAAATTTGTAGATGTGTGGTCGATTTTTTTATGAAAATTGTACATAAAAACAAAAAAGAACAATGAAGAGAAAAGATTAAGAGGAGATAAAAAATTTTATGATCTTGATAATACATTTAAAAATGTAAAATTTGAAATTTTTGAATTCAAAGTTTTTTAAATACCAGATTTCCAAAAATTTTAATTTTTACGATAAATAATTATAATTTAGAATTCAGACTAATAAAAATTAATTAATTAAGAAATCCTATTTTAGATTAAAACGGATCTGGTGCTTAATATTCATATGCAAATTTATTTGCATATATTTAGCTTCAATTTATGATTACGTTTCAAGTCGGATAAATTAAATCAACATGCAATTTATAAAAACTGAAAAAATAAATTTGCATACAAATATCTATTATAAAGCAAGGTTCGCTTTGTAATCAAAAATAGGATTATTTCTTTTAATTGATTTAATTTTTAAACTTATAAATTTGTAAAATTTTAGAATATTGAAGCATCGAAAAATTGCAAAGTTGTACAAAAATTGTCAGTGACAAATTATTTTACTTATAGGGAGCCAATTGAGCGACAATACACCGCCCATAATGTGGTTGGATCGAAACTGGAGACTTTCGGAAACCGAGCCGGTAGGAAATGTTATAACCAGGGTTCGTGCCGAGGACAATGAGCAGGATAAGTTGACTTATGGTCTAGAACCACACGATTATAACGGGGACAACAAGCTACAATCACCATTACCCTTTTTCATCGACAATAGGACCGGCACAGTTTTTCTTAATGAAACTCTCAAAGGAAGAGTGAGTATTTTCGTCAATTGTCAAAACTCTACTCATTTTTAATGAAAGTTTCTGCTTTGAATAATTAAAAATAAGTAATTTTGATGAAAAAAAATCTATAGATTGATTTTTATAATCAATTATGATATAATTAAAAAAATATTTAACTTTGGTTGTAAAAATAATTGATTAAATAAATTGTACATATTTTTGTATTAATTAGCTGAATTTATACTAATTATTTAATAACTATGAAGTTATGTTTCAAATATTGCACTATTAAATGTTACATTGTATGCAATATCAAAACAGCTATATATATACATATATATATATATATATATAATATTTGGATACATATACGTATTTCATACGTACGTAAAATTTTCACGAGTTGAACTAAAATAGGATTTATTTAAAAAATGTATCATAAAGAAAGAACGTAGTGTATTTTCTCAATATATTGACGACACACAGTGTGTCTACATATGGCAATCGCGAATGCTCGGATGTCGAGGCGCTTAAATTACGCTTCTTGTTCATTCTTCTTTTCAGGCAGGCCAGAACCTGTTACTCTATGTGACCGTTTCCGACGGTCAACTCACAGCAAAGACTGAAGTTTACGTCAACATCGAGCACGAATCAACAACGAATCGAGCAAGGATAAGGTGCGTGATCTTATATACCTACACACTCCCACGCCCGTGCGCGTTGGTATTTTTAGTAGGTCAATGCAATCTATTGTGTTTATTAAAAAAAGAAAATAAACTTGATATGCAAAATGTAAATGCTAGATTTCGAAGAAGGAATATATGTACATATATAGTAATATTCTAGAGTTGTATCAGTTAATTTGCATTAATACTGAAAGTAAAATTTCTAAAATGTTTCAGATTTTTTTAGAATAAATAAGTATTTTTTAAATATAAAATACACATAAAATTAAATAAAAATTCAGTCTTCCATTATATGTATTATACATAGAAAAAAACTTGTATAATTAACATTTTAATAAAAACGGTATTAAATTGGAGCATGTAAAATAGTAGTTTTTTCTATAAATGGCAAGGAATAGCTCGCAACTTTAAGGGAACTTAGCGGTGATCGTTCTATTATTCATGCTCCACTTCGTTAACAATAATAGACACTGCTTGAACAAAAATTGCAGAGTGTAAGAAGTACTTGTTATAAAATAGCCATGTTCCTTATGTCAGGATATCAATTCAACGGATCATTAATTCAACGGATTATTGAAGTTATCATTAGTTAACGAAATACTAAATTTTTGTGTGAGTGTATATAAAAGAGATATATCAATATTATTATATAAATATATGTGTATACATATAAATATAATATATAAATATTAAGTTGAGAAAGAAAAGTTAAAAACATTTAAACTTAGAAAGTAGGTAATTACAAAGCAATTCTATTTAAAACATATTTCATTAACGCGCGCGCGCGCGCACACATACACACACACACACGCACACGCACACACACACACACACGCACGCATACACACAAAACAGATGAGACTTTTTTTATTTAAAAAATTCTTTCTGATTTTTTTTTTAATCTTTTTGACAGGGTACCATATCCAAGTCAGCATAATTCCGGTAGTCGGATACGACCGCCGTTCCTTGGTCTACTAAATCTATCATCCTTCCCCTCGCCTCTACCCCCTTTACCACCGAAACAGTACCATCCTGAAACTACAAAACTTGAGTTGGAGAGGATAAAACCTGAGGAGAATGACAACAGCAGTAATACCGTTAGTACCGTCAGTACTGTCAGTACAGAAGAAAACGTCCAGATAAACGAAGTGGAAACTCCTGCATTAAGCTCGAAAGTTGCACCTTCCGCTGCGCCGCCTTCGCAAGATATGGCGATGACGCTGGTACCGATAGCGGCTGGATGCGCCCTCGTTGTTGGTCTTGGTTTGGGTGCTTGGTCCTTGAGGAATAGATTCTGCAGTAGCCGCAAATCCAAGGTGAATACGGTACTCGAAAGAAGATTGATTTAAAAAAAGGAAGATATAATCTTTTTATTTTTAAATAAAAATATGTTCTTACGTACATATTTCAAACAAGGTATTTACGACTGAATCTGATTTTTAGAAGGGACAAGCGTCAGTCAGCGTTTCCAATCTATCAGACGATCCTTCTCTGAAGAGATGGCGAGGTACAAAGACTCGTAACAATCGTTACCAGCCATGGGAGAAGGAATTCCAAGCAGGTATTCAGAATAAAGAAGAGGATAAATGGGAATTTCCCAGGCATAGATTAAAGGTGTGATCATCACTCCATACTTGATAATTAATTGATCACAAAGCTGATAATTAATTCCATGAGTATGGCTACATTATTGAAGTTATCAAACAGCTAAATAACTATAACATTAACTAGCCAATTAAATTTAACTATTTCATAAATTCATAAATGTATTAAATACATTTCCAAGTAATACATGTTCAATCATTTATTTTTCCAAGTAATTATTTAAGTTAAAAGTTCTAACTAATTAAATAAATCATTCTCATTTAATTAATTAGTTAATTATGCTTAGGTTTTCAACATCCTTGGTGAAGGTTGTTTTGGTCAAGTATGGAAATGTGAGGCCCTAGATATCGATAGCAAATCTGGTCCCACAATCGTGGCGGTAAAGACTCTGAAAGAGAATGCCGCCGAGAGAGAACGATTGGATCTCGCGCAGGAGCTACGTGTCATGAAAAATTTAGATCCTCACCCCAATGTTGTACGGCTTCTAGGATGTTGTACTGAACGGGAACCTATGTTCGTTATTCTGGAGTATGTCAGCGGCGGTAAACTACAGAGTTTCCTCAGAGCCTCCAGAGAAGAAAGAAATCATGGAGGAGCAGGACTGACATCAAGGGATCTTACTGGATTTGTATATCAAGTAAGTGATGCAGTTTTAAATATTTAACTAAGAATATAATATAGCCAGGTGATTAAATAAAGAATAATTAAGCAATAATAAATTCGTCAGCATTAAAACATTTATTATGAGAATAAAACTATGACTTGTCATTACGACGATCGGTTCTATGATAGACGAAGTTTGTATTGGTGTGCAATATTCTTACTGTGCGTTTTGTTTTTGGACATTATGAGCCTGAGTTATTTTATCACACTCAGCGTTGTAACTGTGTTGGACAACTCACTCTTGTCTCATAAATTGTTCCACGGACAGAATAAAGATATTGTTGCGGTGGATTTAATTGGAGCTGAAACGTACAAAGTCATATGTAATGTAAATTATTGTTCAAGTTAATTTTGCAATATAACAATCTGCGGTTGATTCTTATAGCCTTATACATATATATATATATATATATATATATATACTAGATTATTTTCTTATTGATTAAATAAATTTGAATTTGTTATTTATAGATCGCCAAAGGTATGGAATATCTGGCATCAAAGGGTATCATCCACAGGGATTTAGCCGCCAGGAACATCCTGATTGACGAAAACCGTGCGTGCAAAGTAGCGGACTTCGGTTTTGCCAGAGACGTAGCGGCTAATCAGATTTATGAAAGAAAATCGGAGGGTAGACTACCAATCAGGTGGATGGCACCTGAAAGTTTATATGATAACATATTCTCCGTTAAGTCGGATATCTGGAGTTTCGGCGTTCTCATCTGGGAGATCGTAACACTAGGATCAACACCGTATCCTGGACTCGCTGCCGCAGAGGTATCAATATACATAATATAATGTCATATGATCTTCTTTATCAATTTTGTTAATTTAATTATAATGACATTATTGTAATCATAAATTCAAATAAAGATTAATTTAATGACAAATAAACAAATACAAATATAACGTTATTAATAAAATTAATATATTAATAATTTCATACTCAAATATATAGTATAACCATAAATACTGTTCCACTTATGGTTATATACATTTCTGTACATAATTATTAATATATTTGTTCTATTTACAACATTGTATAATTTATACTTGCTCAGTCTTGAAATTATTTTTATTTATTAATTAGTTTAGTTCAATGTTTTTATTTTGTTCGCTGTTTTAATTAATTTTGATTTAATAAAAAACAAATGTATAAAATTAAATTAAATTAGAGATAGAGTTTAGTTAAATTTAAAACAATTAAATTAACAAAATTAAAGATATATAAACTAATTGTAAATTAAACTAGAACAATTAAATTGATTATAAAAAAGTAACTGTATGGCAATCAAATGTTTTTTTAATATATTACATCGAAATTTTTTTCAGGTAATGCGAAAAATCAAAGAAGGGTACAGATTAGACAGACCTGAGCACTGTAAAAGGGAGCTCTACAATATTATGTATTATTGCTGGGACAAAGATCCGGCATGCAGACCATCCTTTGCCGAGCTCGTTAGCCTGACCGAAGGGCTGTTGCTTGATGAGACGGATTATATTGAGCTCGACAGATTTCCGGATCACTCGTATTATAATGTGCTCAATCTTAGCGGAGAGAAACTGTAAATCTCGCGTGATAATCGTTAATGTTATTTCATCCGATTTTCACATAGATAAGTTGCCACATATTTTCACAAATAGACTTTAACACATTAGAATTTAATTGGATACATTTTCGCCATATATATATATATACATATATATATATATATGTATATATGATACATTTTTATGTAGGAAAATCTTTTAAATTATAGAGCTGACAACTCTTTTTAAATCTTAACTGAAGAGGATTATCAAATTATACAACTGATCGAAAATAATATTGCATTTTGCAGTAATATGTACTGATGATTTCGCTTAAAAACGATTTGAGGTTTAATTTTCTGCTCTTTACAGTATAAGACTGTTCGATTGTTCTGTTAAATACTCAGATTTATGTGCGCATTAAATACTCATATGTACGTACATACAAAAAATATATGGTCTATAATAATTAAAAATGGAAAAATGTAATTAAATTTAAACGCGACGCTCTCTCCACGCTTACAAATCGAAGGAAAGTATTCTTAATACTTTAGTCGCTATTCATGTCTGGACATGAACCTGTATATATGTACTGAATTAAATATTGTTGTAAGTTATTGTACAATTGTGTGTTATAAGAATAAAAAATCTATATACGAGTATATTGTACATTCAGCAATATATTTATGTTTCCTATAATATAATATTTCATATTAAAATCTATTGTATATTTTATAATAATATATTAATCCTAAATGTATTTTTTTCTAGCAAATATATCCAAAAGTCTTTTTATTTAATAAGTATTATATTCAGTATGTTCTCTTCTATTATATAATATAATTCTTTTACACATTTAAAGTATAATCATATACTAACGATTTAAAAAAATTCAAGATTTTTATTATAAAATTATATTCGGCCAAAACAAAACTAAAAAGTCAGAACTGCTTGTATCTGTTATAATCTATCTGTTATAATTGACTAAACGATAATATATTATACTTTATTATTTTTTCTCTTTTCTATTTTACATATTTTGCTTAGAAACATTATTAAATATATTTGACGCTTTTTAAATTTCTGTTTTATGCTTAAATTGTTCTAATTTTTAGTTATTATTTTTACAATGCATTGTAACGCAATATAAAATAAGATTATTACGCAATCATGCATATAACATGGACAGAATCAAACAATGTACATAACAGATAAAAACAGACAACAAGGATGTATTATCCGTTAGAAATATTCGTAGCTACGTAGAGTTCTTAATGTGTACATATTACGCACATAGAGACTCCAGTAAACGAGTTCCATCTAAAAAAATGCGGATACGTCTACTCTCAGATATATCTCTCTGTCCACTAGCTCCTCTACGTAGATAAAACGTGTAGACACCTTGAACTATGTAGCTACGTTCACAAAAGTTTTCAACGGGTAATACGCTATATCTATGGTCTTCACAGTATATTAGTTGGTGAATACAGCGACAGAGGGTACTATAATCTCTTTTGTTTTTAATCATGAAGAAAAATAATTTATTTTTCTTGATTTTTCTATGCTATTTATAAGAGTATATATGCATACTCCAAGACAAAAATTTAGGACCATTAAAAAAAAAACATTTTTTAGATAACTTATTCCAATCCATAACGATGTGTTTTTTAACAATAATTCTCCAGTTCCAATAACAATTATTAAACGTGAAAAATTATTGTTTAAAAGAACAAATTGTTATAAATATTTTTTGAATAAGTAATCCCAAAAATATCAGACAATGTTTCTAAATTTTTTGCCTGCGGTGTACACACACATTCTAATGAATTGTTTACACAAATGCAAATCACTGCAAAGATTAAAAGAAACAGAAAGAGAAGTCATATCGTTGTTTTTTCTCAATTATTTTTATATATTGCATGAAGCATGAAGCATCGAGTTATTTATTCTGTGCGATATTCTATTTATATAAAATGCTTTTTAAAATGATTTTTAAGTTCATAATTCGTTATTTATATAAAATTCGGGAATAAACAAATTTGTCAGGCTCGAATTTATTATTTACTATAGGTGCCGAATTGTCGGCCGAGCAATTTTTTAATAAAATTAAAGGTGTATATATTAATCAATTTATGTTAATTTTTTGGACTCGACACTATACAATCATGATGAATCATAAATTGCAAATCATAGATTATGCATACGTATCCATAAATACGAATTATAGATAAAAATTATATATATGTATATATGTATGTATGTTAATATATATTTACACCACACAAATGCGCATTATGTACATTATCGAGTATATTATCATGAATAATCATGATAAAATAATTGATATTAGAATAATAGAATCTAACAATTGGTAAGATATAAATTCTTGACAAGTTATGTCAATATTTTTGCCTTCTTATTCCCAAAGTTACGTCTCGATCCTTCATAATTTTTCTTAAAATCTGTGGCGCGCCTTCGGGAAGTCGCGTAACTTATGTCATCCTAAGACGTGTCTAACACGACGAAGAAAATAAGGGAACACGCGTGGCGCGGGTGTGCGCGATGCACGTGCGTTCCGCGCGCGTGCATAAGTGCATGGTAAGAGGGAAGAGAAGGTGAATAATGAAAAGAGAGGAAAAGAGGGAGAATAAGACGATGAAGGAAAAGAAGAAAGAAATGCGCAGGCTCTGCCTGGAGTCTGCGAGAGGAATATCCAGTGCAAACGTATAAAAGCCCGTTATGCACGGCGACCAATGTGGCCGCACACGTGCACGCGTGTGCATTAGTATACGGCGCTTGCTATAAATAGATGTAGAAGACCGCAGAGATTCTAAGTACCCCGCCTCCTTTCATACACGACCGCAGTCGATAGTGCGCAAGAGCGGAAAACTCACCCATATCTCACTCATATACACTGCGCTTCAGAAAACCGGAACTGAAAAAAATTTTTATTTTTAAGATAAATAGTTTTCTCCTCTCTCTGATAATGATGATCGCTGCGTTCCGATATTCACTACCACCAGTGATGGAAATCTATAGTGCACGTAACTTGTATCATAGATCTTCAGTACTTGTATCATAGATCTACAGTGAACATCGGAACGCAGTCGATAATCATCGTAATACACGAAAAAGCGCTCATCTTTTAATATCAATATCGATAAATCTATAATTCGTCCCAGAATTCAGAACAGAATTTTATTTATAATATAATTTGATACTTTGATATACATACATATATACTATATACTTGTGCGTGCGTACGTGTGCGTGTGATCTGTGATATATGTATTTTTATATATGCACGTATTCTTTAAATTTTTTAAAAGAATTTATTAATTTACACGCTATGTGCACACATTTGATAACAAAATTTAAAATAATTCTATCACAAATTATAATAATCGTCTAAAATAAATTTAAAGAAGTTATAGATTTAAAAAAACATAAAAATCACTGGGGCAAAGAAGATTATTATTTTGCAATGCAATTATATTTCATACACCTCTATTCTTGCATTACTATTGATAAAATCTTTACTGTCATGAATAGTTTGCGTCTAGAAATTCACGAGAAAGTTTTATTGAACATTATGATAGTCGAATAATAGAATATATTCGATATTAATAACGCGAATGATGATAAAACGTTAGCGTATCCAGAAGTTGTCCTGGACTTCTGGATGTTCCGTTGTTAATAAGGCATCGATATAACTATGCAATTTAAAACGCTGTCTTCACGGCGCGAGCCGTTATGAGATACCGGTACAACCGACCGAGTCTGGCAGACAGCTTCTGTTTTCGGCAATGAGGATGTCTGGATGTCAGCCGAGTTACGAGCGACAAGTGTTGTAGCAAGCGAGACAGCGCGATCTATCTCTTTCTTTTCTTTCTCTTTATTATATTATCATTTATACATTATTTTTTCCAATTGATCAATTTTTCTTGGACGCGACGAAGTTGTGTTTTTGTTGTTTAACAAAAAAGTTCAAGGTATTGATACTTTCAAATCCTTAAATGTTTTCAAACATGTCGACAAACTGTTTCGAATCTGAGATACAATATTTTTCTGATGAAAGAAAATTTCAGTACAACAATGTCCGCGGAGATTCGCTTCATTAAGAGGAGTCCAAGAACTTCTTCGTAGACGTCAGAGATAACATTTCTTGAGACTGGAACAGAGTGGTACTGACGATGCAACGATGTAAGCGAGTGGCGGGCTCACGCTCCGAAGAATGCCAAACGTGATCCGTGAGCAGTAAGCGAGCACGGTGCTGGAAGCTGCAAGGCCGCGAGTGTGATCTCTTCAAGAGCTTCAAGGTCAGCGGCACAATTGATGATGCTCGAGGGCAATGCAAGAGCATGCGGAGGGCAGCTACGGTGGAAGAAGAAGAGAAGGGAGAGTAGGGGTTGACCAGTTCATTGCATAATTGCGTCACGTTGTCCGGGAATCACTGTCCGTGCACACTAACACGTTTTGCAAAAACTTGCGGCAAACTGGATTTCTCATACACGCGTGTGCTTACACGTATGCGCAAATATGCTCCACGTATTCACGCGTAAAACGTGAAGAGACATCACCTTCTTGACTATATATAAAAGATTTTTCGTACGTAATGTACGTGTAATGATACTTGAGTTTGTAAAAATCAGAACGTATTGAAATAGTTGTTTAATATATAACACACGTTTCTATTGAATTATCAATAAAAAGCGATGTTAGCGACATAATAAAACTTCTTATAATTATTAAAAACTTGATAGAAATTTAAAAGTCACAACAAAACGTTGGTTACAAAAAAATGTAGTGTGACGTATTATTCGAAAAAATTAAACTTCTAATTTTGCGTTTGTATTCAGAATCAATTAATTAACTTATTATGCGCGCATCTTATTTTCACATTACGATCAATCATTATAATCTTTTTCGTTTAATCAAACTTTAAAGAATTAATTAATTAAATTATTCTTTGTGATATTTTCATGCAAAAACACTGCATATTTCGTTAAATAATATCGAGGCTCTTCATGTAATCTAACGCACACTGGGGTCTTGTAAACGTGATTTTTCGCATAAAGTTTCCCGGCCTGCA